TCCCGGCCTCGAAAAAAAAAAAAAAGTCAGCGAGAGAGAAGCCCGACCCGAACCCGAAGCAATGATTGACATTTTTAGGCCCGACCCGATCTTACCTATAGTGTACAAGCATATGTGTGTGTGTGTGTGTGTGTGTGTGTATATATATATATATATATATATATATATATATATATATATATATATATATATATATATATATATATATATATATATATATATATATATATATATATATATATATATACATACACACAGTATATATAATTTTTTATTTTTTCCGGAATTTTCAGGAAAGTTCACTTTCATCTCTGTACAAGTTAAACTTCATCACAAATAATGAAAATATCTAAAAATTTTGACGTGCAGGGAAAAAAGTACGTTTTTTTTTTTTTTTAAATCAGTGTCAAAAGTTTAGGGAAACACAAAGTTATCTTTGATTAAAATTTGATGTTGACCAGTGTTAGGGTTCATTTTCACTTAATTTGCATGTGTGTTCGGTCACAATTTATTTCTCCTTTTGTTCCGGAAAAGAATGTCTCTGCTGAAACGGCTTGTGATATTGTCTTTTTTTTTCTGACTGGATCATTGGCCTAAGGTACTTTGCGTGAATGGTTAACAAATCATGCATCAGATTTTCCTGTGTAAAATAATATTTCCATCATGGCCATTCGCAAATACTTGAAAAATATGATGCCATACTTTTTTATTTTACAGTATTAAAAGAACAGCATTTTTAGATCCATGCATCTGGCAGTTAGGGCCTTTTGTAATCGCTGTTTATTTTTTATCTTACTGTATGTCTATGTGACGTCTTATTACTAAACACTTTTTTTTTAACTGTACCATTTAGGTCAAGTAAAATGTAGCTTCAGTAACTGTAGTCAGTCCAGTTGAGTTGTGAGCGCAGCGTTACGATGGTCACAAATTAGCCTTTGTCATGGAATTACGATGACAGTCATTTGAGGCATCTGTGTTGTTTGCATGTCTGCTTCACAGTTCTGAGGTTGTCGGTTTAAGTCTCACCTTCCAGCCTTAAGTTGTGAAATGTGGAGTTTGCTTGCATGGGTTTTCCCAAGGGTACTCTGGCATTCTCCCACATTCCAAAAACCTGCATGTTAGGTTCACTGGAATGCTCTGAATTGCATGAGTGAGTGTGAATGATTTTACCAGTCCACTTCTTACCCAGTCAGTTGCGACAGTCCAGCTCACTTGTGACCCCGATGAGGACAAATGTTATAGAAAAAGGATGGAAGGACAGTCATTTGAGTTTGTTATTGTATGTCCTAGTTTTTTTTTCACCAGCTTCTTTCACAGGACAAATCTTTTTCTGCCCTCTGCAGGTTGCAAACGCGCTCATGCAAGAATTGTTAAACATGCAGTACAGTACTGAGTACTTGTTCACACAAAGCCAAAATACTTTTGAGGATGTAAAACAATTGTGCTCTATTATGTAATTGTTATCCTGTAGTAAAATAAGTCATGTTTTGCCTCATAATGTGCGTGCGCGCAATGTGCTCATAGTCCCTGTACTCCATCTTTATTATTGCCACAATGGTTTTTTTGTTATTTCTATGTCTTTCAAAAATATACCTTTCCTGTATTGTCTTGGATGGTTCAAAATAGCACAGCGGTACTTATCTCGCATAAACCGAAGTAAATGTTAGGATACATTTGTTAGTTAAACTTTTAAAAACTCACGTAGCTTACACACACATATCTCGATTAAAAAATCCAATCAATTCAAGCAATTTATTTATCTACTGTACAGTCGACCCCCGCTATTCGTGACGGATTGGGACTGGCTTGGCCGACAAATAGCCCAAATTCATGTATAATTGACATCCATTGAAATGCATTGGGGGAGGTGGGAAGCAAAACAAAACAATTAAACGCTAAACATTCTCACAAAAATGCTGATAAACATTCAATACATGGAAAATGAGAGGGTGTGGGGAGTTGGGGGATAGAGGCTAACCCCTCCCCAAAAAACTCAAATTAAAAAAAAAAAAAAAAAAAAAGTACTGTACCAGTATATGTTGAGAAAAGTTGGCTTATCGACAATGGCATCACAGAACAAAGCCATTGATCAATCGGCAAATTATGACATCACAATCCAATCAAAAATTAGTTTTGGAAATGCAAAGTTTCCGCCCAACGCCAGTGAGATGCAACACCTTGCATACGAATTACAGGGTGTTGCTCTTAATCGTCATTGGCTTCAAATTTGCCTTAGTTTCTTTAAAAAAACACATTTCCTTGTGTGGATAAAATATTTGGGTAGATTATATTTTATATATGTTAAAAGTTTAAGAATGACATACGCAAATTTTGCAAACTCATTCACAAATATCAAGCTTGTTCCATAAATTCATTACAGCTTCAAAATTGCGCACATGTACACACATACACAGAGAGAGATCCACAACACAACCTCCATAGGTGTGCATCAAAATAGAAAATGTTATAACATGTCCATCAGTAGTTATGTTTCATGATTTTAATGATCAGTGGTCACTCATATCACCCAGTGTCACAAGTTTCTGATCTAATGATTACCGTAAACTCATATTTGCTCTCTCTCTCTCATCTCATCTCTCAATATCATTAGCTTGTTGTTAGCATTAGCTTTGGTGTTATTGAGTGTTTTGGAGCGCATACTGCGCTTTTGATGACGTATCGATCGGATGTGTGTGGATGAGCATTTCATTGCATACATCGCATACATACGAGGCGTGGAAAAAACATCTGATATGTGTTGTAAATGGACAAAAAAAATGTAATTGAGCTGCAGTGTGGACATAACTTTAATCCCTATTATTGTCACAGTTACCGGTACTCAGTACCACAATGAGGGATTTAGCTCATAACTTGAAGTGATGTTTGTGAGAAGGGTGGAAGAAGGAACAAGCAGATGCTTTTCGCAGAGGCCAATCATTCACCAAGCGATGGCCTGGTGCAGATGCATATTCCGCTCAGAAGATAATCCTCAACGGTGGTGGGCTCTGGTGAAGGAGTTTACTGCAGGTGGCTAAAAAAAAAAAAAAATATATATATATATTTTTTTTTTTTTTAATGTCTCTATGCGGCCCGGTACCAAATGGTCCGCAGACTGGCAACGACTACCAAAAGTCATGGTTGGTAAGTACCTTGGTTTTAGGTTCACAAAGCTTAAAACCTTGTATCATTTAGATGGAGGTCGGCAACACGCGGCTCCAGACCACATGCGGCTCTTTAGCGACATCTAGTGGCTCCTTGGAGCTTTATAAAAAATGTTTGAAAATGGAAAAAGATTTTGATAGTAGGCTAATATAGCTCACATATATATATAGATACATGTTGCAGCTCCGAAAAAGGAGAGCTGTGGTGTTGGTTTTTTTAAAACGTACACTTTATTTATGCTTTTAACAGTCTCGACAAAGAGAGACACGTCTGCTTCCGACTCGTGCCTTTTCTCTTCTCGTTCGACTCGAGAGGCGTTCAAAGCCAGCCTCAGAAAAGCGGAACTTAATGTAATGATCACTTCACTGACACTAAGAAAAGCGAAAATAATGAACCAAAACAAAAAATCAAGCGAGGAAATTACAAAATAAATTCTATGGGGGCGTTTGTGAACACACAACAAAGGAATGAATAACATAAACAATTCCGCCACAGTCCAGTCTCCTACATACATACAGCATGTGTTTCTTTCATTGTAAGTTTTATAGAAGGCTTTTATTTTTTTGCGGCTCCAGACATATTTGTTTCTTGTTTTTTTTTTTTTTTGTCCTATATGGCTCTTTCAACATTTTGGGTTGCCGACCCCTGATTTAGATAAAGTTAATCTGCGTCTCATGAGTCCACAATGCTTGGTTCTTTTTCTTCTTCTTCTTACTACTGAGTGTTTTGTAGCTTGTGGTGTAGCCTTTGTGCTTTTTGTTCAGGAAGTCTTCTGTCAGCAGTTGATTGTGATGCTGTACCTTAATTCCAGACCCTTGGCCTGTGGAGGTTGTTGCTAATGTCGTCAATAGTTGTTGTGGGGCCTCCGCTTCAGCTCTCACAAGCTTTATCATCAATTGCGACTGTTTTTCCTTATCTTAACATTCAATACAAGTGGTCACCAAATATCCTTAAAATGTTGCATTGTTTCACTGTCATGCATGCAACTGACAACTTTGAGTCATGGGCAGTACCATGTTGGTACTGATGCAAAGCACATGCGCCAGGATGATGGCAGACACAAACTGCCTATTGCCTGTGTTGCTGTGTGGGTTGCAGCATTTGGTCAACATGCAGTCACACTGTGAGTCTTGCTGATCGGCTGGCTGGTGGAATCCTGAATTCCACCCAATAAGACTTTAGAGACACACACACACACACACACACACACACACACACACACACACACACACACACACACACACACTTGTGCACAAACGCATCAATTCAGCTTTTGTGTGTTTTCTATGAATGGGCAGAAGCCTCCAGTTTTTGTAAGAGGGGGAAAATAAGGGGGTGGGCTCACAGGAATCCTACTCCTCCCTCTCTTTGCCCCCTGCCTGCCCCTCCTCTGCGCCCTCTTCTCCCACAACATTGAATACAGGCAGAGAGAGCAGACGAGAGAGAGCTGGACAGCGAGGTGAAGGGTTGAAAAGAGAAGACAAAGAGAAGTGGAGACAGTTTTTGCCATGTTCAGGATTTACCACCCAACGCTGATTAATTCTCCTGCTTTTTGTTGTTGCTGCTGTCTTCAAGACGTCCATCATCCCTTGTAGTGTCACATATGATACGGTTTTCTACCCAGTGGGTAACAGCATTGTTTATCAACGAAGTCCCGGACCAATGTGGAGGGATAGATGTTGAAGAGAGGAACATATCTGTTTTTTTCCCATGGATATTTTGTTGTTCGCTCTCCTCCCTCCACTTGCTTTCTTTTGTATTCACGCGCCCTCCCTCCTTCCTTTTTTCCTTCGCTTGGCTGCACAGGCTGTTTTTTTGGGGAATACAACGGATCCCCTTCCCAGAGACCTCCTTTGACCCATTCCAATAGCGTTGTCCCCCTGGATGCCGTCCTGCTGCTTGCGAATTGATCGCGCAAATCTAAAACAGACTTTGTTTCTCTGGACTATCAGTCTTATTTAAGAAGCAGCGAGACTGTGGATGGACCCGCTGCTACGTGCCTTTCTGAATCAAATCTGATGATTATTTTGGTCATTTCATCAGCGACATGTCCATGAATGTCATTCTTTTTTGGTCACAAAATGGTGGTGGTTTGATTTTCATTCATTGACTTGAACTACTGGTTCTGCAGAATGGAATTCACGTGATAAGCTGCAGCCAGGTAGCCTTGAGTCTTTTCCCTGGCTCCAAGATTCAGCTTGCTTTTTTTTTTTCTTTTGACTCGGCCTTGTAGATCAAATTATCACCTGTTTGTTGTCTGCCACCCAATGTGGCGAGGATGAAGAAGACACACAGCAGCACACTGAGGCGCGTGTGGCCCAGCTCTGAACTGTCAGAGCGGCTACTGTCACAGGCAGCCAGTTCGGAGCCTTCCAGGAGCCGACGCTCTCGGAGTGAAAAGGACTACAGAATCCACAAACACAGGAAAAGGAACCACTATCCTGCACAGTACGTGTGTCAGAGTCCACCTGCTTACTTTTTCACAGGTACTGCGCACACGTCACCAGAAAGATTGTTTTTGATTTGACAGAACTTCTTAAAAGTCGTGGACTCTCTTTATTTGGGATTAGTTTTTATTTGATTTTTACAAAGGAGTATTGTTATCGTCATGTGTCAATCATGTGAAAAACAGGTACCTTGAGGAGAACTGAGTATTACTGCTCCATAGTTAGCTGATGAGAGTTGTTGCCATGGATACAATCCAGCACGTTAGACAGGTTATCGCGAGTCTGCCTGGTTCCATTTGGTGTATTTGTTTCTTTGTACTTGTAGCTGTGGGTAAAAATGAGCACCTGCATGTGTGCATGGATGGAATCAAAAAAATTCTATACTTGTAAGGATAAAGCGGATCAGAAAATGGATGGAAGAATTCTCTCAATGATCCCATCGTTTATTCAAGTTTTTGGATTCAAATCTGTTTGTACATGTTCAGTGCAGGCATTATTTTTGTTTGGGTTGGGAACAAAGCTTTCTACATTTTGGGAATTGCCCTGAGCTATCAAGTCCTCACAGTCCACTTATACCTTCCGGTGAAGGCACTGTGCAATTCCAAAAAGAAACTTAAAAGGACACACAAATACTGTATGTCCGGAAGCTAACACAATTGCCAGCCAAGCTAGTCATTCCAACTCAGTCAATCATCACAACAAGCAGTGCATGTGTGCAGTGGAAGCCCTAATTTGAATGGCACCATATGAGCAAGACCCCTTTAATGCTGAAATATTATTTGTGACAATTATTTTCCCTGCAAAAATAAATTGTAATCTATTTAAGTAGTAAGCTATTCATTTTTTTCTCCACTGTTTAGTGAGAAGTGGTCGTGTACATTTTTCAAAATACTGGAAGAATGTTACTGTATTTCATAGAAGGTTCTTTATCATTAACATGTCCCTCAACAAATGTCAGGCACGTGCACACATTGACCTCAAGTGGTGCTCAAATGTGCCCATTTACCCTGGATGAAAAAGTGCCCTTTTTGCTGCATCCTTTTTCTTAAAGGGGAAGTCAAGTCAATATTTTCTATGCACCCCCACTAGTCTGAACACAGCAATATTTCCTTGTGGAATATGAATTAATTAGCAAAATCCACCCATTTTTATCAATCTCAGGGGATAGCCATTTTGCAACTCTTGCAGTCAACTGAAAATTACATCACTCAGGCTTAGGGCTCTTTTTTCTGACTTTGGGGATGTGACGACATTCAGAAGCTGAGCCCTTAGGCACTATGACGTCATTTTTAGACATCAAGTGGTAAAATGGCTGCCCCCCGAAATGGATAAAAACGTGTGGATTTTGCTGCTTAATTCATATCCCACAATATGAATCAGAGTAGTGGGGTGCATAGCATAGAACATGTTTTGGGAAGAACATTTTTTAATTGACTCCCACTTTACATCATACTTACAAAAAAGTCTCTTTGTCATCAATTCCAACCGAAGTGTCCCCTCCTTGATTTGTTAGGGGTTAATCAGGCCCTTGAAATGGTGGCGGGTGTGTGCTGACCCTCGTTTAAAAGTCAAATGTGAAGTAAACTTGGCCAATCATCTTTTGACTAATACTTTGGGCTAAAATTATTTTAAGCATACTGTCGTTAGTTTTACACTGCACACAGGCTGGTCTCAAGGCTCTAAATCAGTGGTGCCCAACCTTTTTTGACCGAAGATCAACTTTTCGAACAACCAACCTCCCGCGACCGACCCATTACCGCACATGCACGCATACACATGCCCTTACACACTCATGCCATGATGAGCAACAGCCATAACGGCCCCTAATTTGAACGAAACAGAAAAATAAAGTAGACACAGGAGTTTGTGGGCTTGTGAAAAGGAAATCACTGCCTACCTTCGTTGAGACCTGATGCGGAGGCATTGGACACACTTTTGCAGAGTGTTAACTATCATAGCTCACGTGTACCGTTTTATTCATTCTTTGCCAGTACCCCCATTCTTTAAATACTTTTTGTCAAAGTGAGACTTATAGGATGCTAAGAGTGCACACACACACAGACACACAAATGTTTTGAGTTTTTTTTTTTGGGGGGTGGGGGGGGGGTTCCTTTCCCTCGACACCCCTTGCTATCGACTTGGGACCAGTCCATGAGCTACTGGTCGATTGCGATCGACGTATTGTGCACCCCTGCTCTAAAGTATGAGCTGTGGGTGATTGTCTTTTGTGCTTGGCAATGAAAGGCATTGATCAACATAAGCCGATGAGATACCTTTCTGCAGAAATTGTCTGATCGCTGTATACTACTGATTATTTATTTTTAGTATGTATACTTTTGGCACTGGGTGCAATTTTGGGGGGGGGTTGAGCCCCCCCCAATGTCTTTGTATGTGGCTGATGAATGTGAATTCTCTCATTCTTTTTGCACTGTATCAATTTTAATCGTATCGCTTGCCTTGGTGAGTGACGTGGGCATCAATGGATGAGAGTGGCGAACTGGTTAGCATTTAGTTTCAGTTACTTGGCGTGTGTTGTAGCCATTGCAAGCTTCTGAAGGAATGTGCTCATGACTTGTTTTATTACCTTTAATTCAATAATTCATTTTGGATCACTTGCAGGGGCATTACAATACGTTCTAACTAGCGATGGTAGATATATGGTACTTTCTTAAATCACTGATACAGTACATTACCTTCTCTATTGGTCAAATTAGACATGCTGTTGTTGTTGTTGAAAAAGGACTCAAGCCATGGCAGTTCCGAGAATCAGTCATGGCTCAATCAACCTCAAACCATAGCTGAAATCTCGGCTACCAAGATGTGCATAGAGTGTTGAATCGCGGTTGGACATGCGCAAAAGCAACATTGTTATCTGCGTCGTCTGGATTTGTGGCTTAAACGGTGAGAAGCTGCACCTTGCCTGGGGCACAGAGGTTTTGCAAACTAGACAGAAGCCGAGAGTCTATCACACCCTGATGCTAATTAGCACCGTGGTACCTCTGCTTCATGGACTCATATGGACAAAGTCCATCAGGTCTGCCCTCGGAAACTAAAATTAAGCAAACCAAGACTTCGTTCTATGAGTTAGGTAGCTAACACCCGTGTCGCTTTGTGCGATCGGGTTCGTTTAATAATACACCTCCTGGAAAGATTAGAGGTTCATTATTTGGACTGCCGTCTTGGTCGGAGGGAGAAAGCAATCATCATGTGTACAACTCGTAGACTCTCGTACGACTGCCTAACGGCTGCACATGCTCTGTGTGTACTCTGTGCGCTGTGGACAGGCATCCCTAGTCGAACAAGCAAATACGATTTGCTCATATCATTACAACACCTACCTCGCTTCTTTCTTTCAGGACCAGGCTACAATGGATGCAGAGTAGAAAAGGTTTCACACATAATGTGGTGCTGTACAACGTTAACTAGAATAGCTTGAGAGTGCATTTCATAATAGGAAGCGCCGCAGGAGGATGCCTTCGGAGAAGTGGGTTCTCGCCAAAACCCGTCTTGGTTGTTTGATGCAGAATTCTCCATAGCAACTCCTCTGTGAACGTGGCCCACGTCAGATCTTGTCCTGGTTGGTTGTTTCAGAATCCATACAGCAGCAGCAGTAGATTCGGTCATCGTCACCTGTTCCCCTCTCCAAGCAAGGCAGGATTTGCAGGAGAAAGAAGAAGCGGTCGTAAAACATGCACATGTAATTTGACTAAATGCAAGAGTACAAAAATAAGTCTTAAGTAGAAATTTAAACACTGCTGCAAGGTTAGAAGGTTCAGACAAAAACCACGATGCCACCATTTCCATGTGTCACAGCTGATATTGTTTAGTCACACAATTCAGTTTTTGTCTCATCTGACCACAGAGCTCTCCAGCACTCCTCCTCAGTCAAGTTGAGAAGAAACCATTGGACCTGATACGTTGTTTTTCAAAGCTTTTGACAGCATAATCATCAGGCGAGGTCTGTTTCTGTTTTCTATATAATCCCCCTGTTCCAGAAAAAGGAACATCATCTGGATCCGTGGAGCATCTCTTGGCATGTTGTGACAACCCAACTGTGGTGTGTTCAGCACGTCAGTCATTTGATTATCTTTCCAAAATGAAAGCAAGGCAAGATATTTATCCTAATTTGTTTAGTTTGGCTTTCATCAATCAAGCTCAAGATGAATTCATCTGCTCTTTTGGCTCCTCCCATCAGGTGTCGACGCAGCTAATTATGCATCCAACTTCAGTGATGGGTATGGCTAAGTCTGTAATATTTCCTTTCAGTATCTACACTTGCTGCGTGAAAGGAATACGTGTGTATGGCTCCAACTGAAAGCCACTGTTTCATTTTTTAAAAATTTATTTATCGCTTTAATTCCTTGATCGGCGGCCCGGTAGTCAAGTGGTTAGCACGTCGACCTCACAGTGCAGAGGTACTGGGTTCAATTCCAGCTCCGGCCTCCCTGTGTGGAGTTTGCATGTTCTCCCCGTGCTTGCGTGGGTTTTCTCCGGGTCCTCCAGTTTCCTCCCACATTCCAAAGAATCATGCATGGCAGGCTGATTGAACACTCCAAATTGTCCCTAGGTGTGAGTGTGAGCGCAGATGGTTGTTTGTTTCTGTGTGCCCTGCGATTGGCTGGCAACCGGTTCAGGGTGTCCCCCGCCTATTGCCCGAAGACAGTTGGGATAGGCTCCAGCACCCCCTGCGACCCTGGTGAGGATAAAGTGGTTCGGAGAGTGAATGAATGAATAATTCCTTGACTGAAGTCCCTCAAATCATAGACTGAGCTTTAATTTTTGTTGTTGTTGTTTTCTTTTTGTGAGGTATGTGTTTTAAGTATGGAAGAATATTAACTGAACCTTTATTTATCCTGGTAAGGCAAATGAGTCTGAAGTTTTCAATGTACTATGACCCATTTTAATATTGTGATGAAAGCATCAGCATGCTCACGGAGCTTCCGCTTGTCTCATAGTAACAGTTGAATAGCTGTTTTGTGATGATCTGGAATGAGGACCAGCAGCTCTCAACAGGAGAAACTCAATGTATCATGAAGCTG